TTTTTTGGGGTTTCGTCTGGAAACGTGGCCAGCCACAGCCACGCCCCGGATTCGCGCCTCTCCGATCCCTGGCATAGTCGGGTGTCATCAGGTGCTGCGCCCTTTATCCGAGATGGGGCCAGGGTGGCCCTACAGGGCCCGTTAGCATTTTTTTTTTAGAGAGGTTTTTGCTATAGGGCACGTGCACTCACCAGAAAGACCGAGAGAGACAAAGAGACAGAAAGAGAGAAATCACCTCCCAGGGGGGATGGTCATGCCACAATCCCTTCTCCTCCATTCTCCTCTCGGGATCTTGGGCACGCACACCCACATGTACGGTGTGAGTTTAAGCCACCGGGTCCAGGACTTAAACCACGGTCGACTACATGGGAGTCCAGTGACAAAGCCATTACGCTAACTGCTGGTCCTGCCATTAGCATTTTCAAAAGCCAATCGTTTTAACAAAATTTGTCCTGCTTCCAGGTCAGAAATCACCCACCCTATGGCTTGTGCCAAACGCCTGCCCTGTCCATGGGTGCAGCTGGCACTCCGGGTGGAGGACAGAGGCCATGTGAGTCACCGCATCACACCCCTGTCCGTGTCTGGTATGGGGGCATGGGTAGGACCTCCAGACCAGCTCCTGGAAGGGCAGTGCCGGCCAGCGCATGCCCAGTCGTACCCTCAAGAGGTCAGCAGGCAGGCCCAGGACGGGGAGTGTTCAGCAGGCAGGCCCAGGACGAGCAGTGCCAGCCAGGTAGAGAAGTGGTTTTAGGAGCAGCGGTCACGCCTGGACCCTACAGCGCCAGACCTGCGAGGATGGCGGGCAGGCGCAGTCCCAGAAATGGCCATGGGGCGGCAGCACAGCGGCCGTGAGAGCCAGCTCGATGGAGGGGCTCTGCGGGGAGGCGCTGGAGCGGAAAATCGTCCCCAGGGGCCGGCTGCCCGGGGTGCTGCTGCACCGCCACTCGAGTGAGTAAGCAAGGCCCGGCCCTCCTTTTACACCACGAGGAAGGGTGGCGTAAAGGAAAGCAGCCCTGACTCAGCACACCACGGGGCACTGGAGGACTTAGCGCTCAGGTCCTCCGACGGCACGGCACGCAGGCCGTCGCGGTGGGCAGGCCCTGGGACCGAAGCAGGGGTTGGCGGCCAGACACCCCCTGCCGCCGCTGCAGCCAGGGAGGACCGACAGCCTGCTCTGATTGGCTGAGAAGCCCCGGATGGTGTCCTATCCAGATGACAGAGACCTGCCAGCCACAACTGGTACTGACCGGCTTAGAGGGGACCTGGGGGCCTGGGGACCTGGGGCCGATGCCGAGGAGCCTCAGGGGCTGGGATGGGCCCTGCCCTTCCCCCACGTGATCCTCCAGGACAGTGCGGGTGGGAGGGGGCTGCTGGTGCTCTGCACCCACGGAGGCTCCTGCCAGGCTCCCTGCTCACCAGCGCCCTCCACCTTTCTCCCCAAGTCCAGGGAGAATCCAGTGGGCTTGAAAGAGGTAACTCTGGAAAATGCTTTTCAGAGTGCATTTGTTTAAAACCATCTCCCAGTCAGCCCATCACGGGGTTAGCTAAACAGCCCAAATGCCCAGCACCCTTCAGAGGGTGAGGAGGTGCGGCTTAGCCCTGGCCTGCGCTGCAGGGAGGACTCCCAGGGCCCACGTGGCCATCCCCCTTTCCTAGCTTGCAGGGGCAGGCCTCTGGGCTCTCAGAGCCATTGCAGATGAGCCTGCCCAGTGGAGGGCGCCAGAGGGGCAGAGCAGAAAGGTGCTCCCTGGGCTTCTGACTGGTGGGTGGGCAGATGTGACCCGGCACCCCCAGAACACACAGTCCCTCAGGCTGGCCTGCAGAGGGCCTCCTGCTCCAGGCCGCTGCCTTTACCCAGCGGGGCTCCGTACAGGGTCCTGACCCTCTGCCAGACTCCCCAAGGACTGCAGCTGGCGCTCAGCAGGGGCTGGTGAGCAGCCTCTCCCCCACCCCAGCCTGCTCAGGTTGCTCCTACAGGAGCCTCCACGCCCTCCTCTCCTAGCTCTGGCATCTTCTTTCCTGGCCTGACTTCGGCCTCCTCCTCCCTCACAGGTGCCCGGGCACGTCCAGCATTCAGTGACCTGGACCCTGGTCTCCCACCCCACCACCCACTTTCCACCAACTCCCACAAACACCCCTGCACCTGTCCCTCAAAAACTGCCACCCTCGCTCCAACAATGCCCCGCCACAAGGGACCTCCGAGCCACTGCCCCCGACATGGCAAGACCCCTCTTGCCATCCCTCCTCCCTTGGCTCGCCACATGCTTGGTGTCAGAACCCACCTCTGAACAGACTCCCTGGAGAACCCCATCCCTGCTTAAACCTGCCCACCCAGGCCAGAGGTGGAGGCTTTGGACTCCCACATGGCCAACCCCAGCTCGAGTGCGGGACCTGCCAGCTGGCTTGCTCACTGTCCTTTTCTCTCTCTCTCTCTGCCTCTCTCTGGTCAAATAAGAAATAATAATAGGGGACCAGCAGATGGCATAATGGCTACGTTGCTGGACTCCCATGTAGTCAACCCCGTAGCTTAAAACTCACGCCGGGCGTGTATGCATACGTGCCCAAGATCCCAAGAGGAGAATGGAGGAGAGACTGTAGCCATCCCTCCGGGGGTGATTTCTCACTTTCTGTCTGTCTTTCTGGCAAGCGCACACACCCTATAGCAAAAAACCTCTCCAAAAAGAAAAAAGAAAAAAAGAATAATAGAAACCAGCAAATGATGTAATGGTTACATTACTGGACGCCCATGTCCGACTGCAGTTTGAATCCTAGACCTGGTGGCTTGAAACTCACACTGGGTGTGTGTGTGTGCACGTGCGTGTGCCCAAAATCCCAAGAGGAGAATGAAGATGGGATTACAATGTGGGCATCCCCCCTGGGGAGTGGTTTCTCACTTTCTGTCCCTCTCTCTCCATGGGCGCATGTACCCTAGAGCAAAAATCTCTAAAAAAATAATATGCGCCGGCAGGTGGCATGGTGGTCAAGGCGTTGTACTCCGACATGGCCAACCATGGTTCAGGCCCTGGACATGGTAGCTTCCTTTCTCACTTTCCATCTCTCTCTCTTGTCAAATTGGAAAATAATAAAATTAAAAAATAAAGTAGTTCTTGGGACTGGCAGTGACGTGGTGGTTAAGAGCACTGGATTCCCACATGGTCGACATAGTTCAAGTCCCAGACCTGAGGGCGTGCTTCCTCACTTTCCCTCGCTCTCTTGCTCTCTCGCACTCTGTCGCCCTCTGGTCAAATTTAAATAAATAAATAAAGTTAAAATAAAATAATTATGGGAACCAGCAGTTAGCGTAATGGCTATGTCGCTGGACTCCCACGTAGTAGACTGCGGTTCGCTTCCCAGACCCGGTGACTTAAAACTCACGCTGGATGTGTGTGCGTGCGTGCCCAAGATCCCGAGAGGAGAATGGAGGAGAAGGGATTGCGGCGTGACCATCCCCCCTGGGGGGTGATTTCTCGCTTTCTGTCTTTCTGTCTCTCTCTGTCTGGCGAGCGCACGCGCCCTATAGCGAAAACCTCTCCAAAAAAAAATTTAATTAAATTAAATAAAATAATTATATTAAAATAGAATAATTCTTTAAGATAAAATAATTATTTTATGTCATTTCTCTTTTTCATTTATTATTACTATTATTGCTTAACTTGACAAGAGAGAGTCAGAGAGGGAGAGTGAGAAAGCAAGCCGCCAGGTCCCGAACTCGAACCACGGTTAGCCATGTGGGAGTCCAGCACCTTAACAGCCATGCCGCCTTCCAGCACCAATAAATAATTCTTAAAAAGAAAAAAAACCTGCCCACCCAAGGTTTAAGCCCCGCCTGGGCAGGTGAGCCCGGGGGGGCAACAAGACTTGGCTTGCCCAAACACCCGCCCGCGTCTCCCCG